TGTAAAGTGTGATAAGGGAAAGTATCAGTGTTGGCCATCTATCAACTGCTAATCTTTTATGTTTTGGTTTAATGGAAGTATGTTGTAGAACTTACCTTGATATGGGAGTTGATTATGATATTGCATATGTTGGCTATATTGTAGAATTGGAGTTGTATCATGTATATTGATTATGATATGAACTGTGAACCATGTATGTTGGAAATGGTTGGAACTGGAAGAAAATTGCATGTTGATAATGCACTTGTAATATATATGTTGTGAAATACCTCTTGAAAAGAGATAGGATTGACCGGTAATGGGTCGGGTTGTTAAATATTATGCTGTAATATGGTTGGGAGTGGAGAAAACATGTTTTTGAAAAACTTGTGTTTAATTTCGGGGACGAAATTCCTTAAGGGGGGGGAGGTTATAGCGATCCCGGTTGTCCCTTTGCTGTTTTGTTGTATTCTGGACACGGTTCTGTGAAGTTGGTAGTAGTATCTATCTTGTTGCCATCCTTTAATTCTACTTGGTTGAGTTTTAGGATGTTTTGGGCAGGGTTGTTACAGGTTGGTTAGGCCTTGGTTTCAATTCCTTGTTGTTCAGTTTTTAGGCGTTCCGCTCCAGCGGGTCTTCTTGCGCTCAAGCGGGGATTGCACAAAACCAGTATTTCGTGCTCCTGCAAAACTTCTGCAGATGTGATTTTTACGCTCGAGCGGGTTTGTTTACGCTCGAGCAGTAGCGCTCAAGCGGGTTTGTTGGCGCTCGAGCAGGTAGTACTGTCCGGGTATAAGTTCTGGGAGGGGGAAATCTACGCTCGAGCGGACTGGTTTCGCGCTCGAGCGAAAGTGCTTTATTCTTGTGTCTTGGCGCTCGAGCGGGCCTTATTGCGCTCGAGCGTGCCCAGATTTTTGTTCTTGGCGCTCGAGCGTTGTGTTCTCCGCTCGAGCGGGTCATGCGTATATGAGTTATCCGCTGGGTGATTTTAAATCACTTTTTACTTTCCCTTCTCTCTCCTATGTTTTCTAAAACCCATTTTGAGAGCTCCTCTCTCTAAAACCTTGACTTCTCTCTAGATATTGATCTAGCTAGGGTGTTTTCCTCACCTTTGGCCTTCACAAAAAGGTTGTTGATCGTCGAGGGCTATCTTTTGATCCGAGAAACTCGTGGTTTGAAGCACCTTCGTTTTCACCATCTTCTTCTTTGGGTCTCATCTTTGAGGTAGGGATTCCTATCCTACTCCTCTCTATGAGTTTTGTCTTTAAATTTTGGCATTTCGATATGTTGGGAGTTGTTGGGTAATTTTGGGAGAGTTTGGGCCTTTGTGTAATTTTACAAAAGTTGGGGTTTTAATTATATAAAACCTAAATGCATGTTTGGCATGGAAAAAGTGAAATTAATGTTAAAACATTAATGAAAATGGAACCTAAGGGTTGTAATGTTAATTATGGAATATGCCCTAATCACATTGGTTAATTAATTTGTATAATTAATTGTTGGAAATGACGGATTGAATGGAGAAATGTGGAAATTGAAATGTTGATTTAATATCCATTTTGTGCATTTATTTTCTGTTTAGAAATAACTGCTTTGGGCTATCGGTGGAGGATAGTCTTGATTGTTGTAGACAATGCATGATGATTAGGCAAACTAAAACTAATCGATTGAATGTGTCATGGAGTATGACGGTGGATTGACTACATTAATTTTATGTATTGTTTGATTGTGTATAGAACCTTTGTGTTTATATGCATTGTGTGTAGAGAAGGAGATGGGGGATGTACTCTGCGGTTTAGGGGAAGATGGGGGATGTACCTCTAAACCGGATAGTGTTGGGAGGAGATGGGGGATGAACTCCGCAGATACAGCTCATATGCTTGTCTAGAGAAGTGAAGATATAGCTCATAGGCTTATCTTTGAGTAGTGTAGATACAGCTCATATGCTTGTCTAGTGAAGTGTGGATACAGCTAATATGCTTATCTAATGATGTGTAATGTGCTTACCTGTTGAGGTGTTGATATAGCTAATATGCTTATCTATTAAATAAAGGTGGAGAATGGAAAGTGACATAGACTTGTACGTTATGAAACTGCGATGTGATATATGTGGATGTATCGGTGTTGGCCATCTATCAATTGCTAATCTTTTAGTCATTGTTCATAATTGGTTTAGTATATCTCTACTGGGCTGTGGCTCACCCTATATGGGAACATCATTTTCAGGTACAGGTAGCATGCCACCTCCAAGGACATAGCTTGGGAGGCTAGAGGCGGACACACTTTTGTTGTCTTATTTCTTTTGATGTATTACATGTAAATTCAAGCCAAGGGCTTAGTATCACATGCTTTACTTCCAAGCATTCATGTTTCTTTTAGCAAATCAAGCACATACTTTCGTTGACATATGAAGATACCATCTTTGGACCGAGCAACCTCAATGCCTAGAAAGTACTTCAGTTTGCCTAAGTCTTTGATTTCAAACTCATTAGCCAAATACTTCTTTAACCGAGGAATCTCCTCAACATCATCCCCTGTGAGTACAATATCATTCAGATAGACAATGAGGGCTGTCGTTTTACCATGTGAGGAGTGTTTCACAAACAAAGTATGATCAACTTGACTTTTTTTGAAACCATATCTTAGCATGGCCTGAGTAAACCTCTCAAACCAAACCCTAGGAGACTGCTTAAGGCCATAAAGTGACTCGCGTAACCGACACACCTTTTCTGTGGTTTTAACATCCTCAAAGCCAGGGGGAATGTCCATGTACACTTCTTCTGCCAGATCTCCATGGAGGAAAGCATTTTTTACATCAAATTGATGGAGATGCCAGTCAAGATTAGAGGCAAGGGAGAGAAGAACTCTGACAGAATTCATCTTAGCAACCGGTGCAAATGTCTCCTGGTAGTCTACTCCATAAGTCTGAGTAAAATCCTTGGCCACCAATCTAGCCTTGTAACGTTCAATTGAACCATCGGCTTTGTGCTTTATAGTATACACCCACTTACATCCAACAGTTCGTTTGCCCTTAGGTAACGCAACCAATTCCCAAGTGCCATTTTTAGCAAGCGCTCTCATCTCCTCCATCATGGCATGCTTCCACTCAGGAATAGAAAGAGCATCCTGAAAATTGGAAGGAAGACTCACAGAAGAAACTTTAGACAAAAAAGCTTTATAGGAAGAAGACAGATTAGTGTATGAGACAAAATGAGAAATAGGATGTTGAGTACACGACCTAACCCCCTTTCTTTTAGCAATGGGAACATCTAGATCAGAAAGAATTGAGTTACCTGGAGGTTCACCAGAAGGAGAGGATTCTGGACACTCATCAGAAGAAGAAGATAGCAGTGGAGAATCTGAATTGGTCTCTTGTACCCAAGTAACTTTCTATCTACTCTTGTCCTTGACATACACTTTGCCGTCTTTCACTGCAGATGGAAAGTCAGCATTCTCAATAGTTGGATCATCAGTAATAATAGTCTCAAGAGTCGCAATAACTGATGGTGATGGTAGTGATACAGGAGTCTCTTCACACCAAGGCTCCCCCTGAAGAGATGACGGGGACACCGGGGAGGAGAGAAAATAAGACTGAGATTCAAAGAAAGGCACATCCATAGAGACAAACCATTTGTGAGAAGGGGGATGATAACACTTGTAGCCCTTTTGAGTGGCGGAGTAACCCAAGAAGACACACCGAAGAGACCGAGGATCCAACTTACTACGGGTAGGAGAATGATTATGAACAAAGCACACACACCCAAAGGTTTTAGGAGGAATGGAGAAGGCAGCAGAAGCTTGGAAGTCGAACAAAACCTGAAGAGTAGTTTGTTTATGAAGAACCTGGGTAGGAAGCCGATTGATGATGAACGCAGCAGTGAGAACCGCTTCCCCCCAATAGGATCGAGGAACGCGCATTTCAAAGGATAAACAACGTGCAATATCGAGAAGATGCCGGTTTTTACGCTCGGCAACACCATTCTGTTGAGGGGTATTGGTACAAGAAGTTTGATGAATAATACCATGAGTGGCAAAATAGCTGGCAAGTCCAGAATCAATGTATTCCCCCCCATTATCAGAACGCAGAATTTTGACAACTGCCCCAAATTGAGTGCAAAGCATTTTATGAAAATTTTGAAACACAGAAAACACCTCACATTTGTCCTTCATAAAATACACCCAGGTGGTTCTAGAACAATCATCAATAAAGGTGACAAACCATCTTTGACCCTTTAAAGACACAAAACGAGAGGGACCCCATACATCAGAATGAATCAAAGAAAAAGGAACTAAACTTTTATTAATAGAAGGAGAAAAAGAAGCTCTGTGTTGTTTGCCAAGTTGACACGACTCACAATGAAATTCAAAAACATTATTTTTCAAAAAAACAGAGGGAAAAAGATACTTAAGTAACAAAAAAGATGGATGCCCAAGACGGCGGTGCCACAGCCAGATGTCTTCCTTGGTAGATGGAAACTGAATGGATGAGTGAGCCAGCTTGTCTGCTTGATCCAAGAGATAGAGACCATTCTCGTGTCTACCACTGCCAATCATCTTCCTCGTGATAAGGTCCTGAAACAGACAATGGTCAGGGAAAAAGGTCACACTACAATTTAAGTCCCGAGTAACACGACTCAAAGACAAAAGATTAACACTAAAATTGGGAACATGTAGGACAGAAGATAAAGGGAGAGAAGCAGTGGCATGAATTAAACCTTTCCCAGACACAGAAGAAATGGTACCATCAGCAATTCGAACTTTATCCTGCCCTGAAGAAGGGGTATACGCGGAGAACAAATCAGAAGAACCAGACATGTGGTCAGAAGCACCAGAATCGATAATCCAAGGTAACATTTGATGAGAGAGGAAAGCACTGGTAGAAGAAGCTAAGTTACCTGACTGGGCAATATTACCTGAAGATGAACTAGAGGCCCGACGGTCTAGCAAGTGGCGAAGAGCAACCTCCAACTCAGAAGTAGAAAACCCCGAGATATCAGCAAATGAATCAACTGGAGCTGTGGACTGTGGCTCAACTGTATCAGAATGATGGGCTCGGGCATTAGGCCCACGGCCTCGAGCCTGTCCGGAGCGACCCCCTCGAGAACTAGAACGGTCTCCACGACCTCCAGATGGTTGCCCATGCAACTTCCAACAAGTCTCACAGGTGTGGTGAGGGCGACGACAAAAATCACAGAAGAGAGTATCCTTCTCAGAAGGAGGGCGAGAACCATGATCCCCATCTCAAGAGAGGGCAGAAACTAGGGTAGATCGATCAGAAGATACCGCCGGAAGCATAGCAGGACAACGACTCTCCTCATTCTGCACATAAGCAAACGCTTCTTGGAGAGAAGGAAGAGTATCCATACCAAGCACACGACTCCGAACAGGATCAAACTCCACATTCAAACCTTCCAAAAACTTGAAGACCCGCACTTGTTCAACAAATTTCCGGTAACCAGCAGAATCTGTGGGACAGACAGGCTTGTAGTCCTGAAGATGATCAAGTCGCTTCCACCCATTGCTAAGGAAAGTAAAATACTGGAGAATAGTCATCTCACCCTGAACGAACCGGTCAATAGAGCGTCGTAACTCAAAAGTCTGTGAGAAATTACCTTTGCGGGAATACATAGTGGCCACAGCCTCCCAAATATCCTGTGCTGTGTCCATAGACAAGTATCCCTCACCGATCTCCGGAACCATAGTGTATCAACCAACCCATGATAAGAGAATAGGTAATCTCCCATTGATCATAACCTGTATCAGTGATACTGGGAGCCTAAACACGCCCATCAACATATCCCATCTTCCTTTTGCTCTTCAAAAATATAGTTAGACTCTGTGACCACACTCGATAGTTCTAACCATTAAAGAGAGAGGTGGTGATTTTCTGGCCAGGGTGCAGAGAATCGGTCATCGAAGTAGTCAAAACAAGACTCGCGCCCTGTGTAGCAGGTTGCGAAATAGTAGACTCACTAGTCAATTCGGCCATAATGACGTCACGACGGAACCCTCACAAACACATCCAGAGTGAATCACAAACCCGAAAGAAGGGAAAAAATAATAATCTAGAGTGAATCACAAACCCGAAAGATGGGAAAAAATAATAATGAATTTAAAATAAATTTAAGAGAACATTTTTTTTTCTCTTTAATATAGAAGACAGAGAGAGATTACAGACTCAGAGAGTCTTACGTATGACAAAGACACAGAGAAAGATGAAGACAGAGTTACATGCAGAGACCGAGAGAGAGATGCGCCTGTGCCGTCGACGGGAGTCGCGACTCTGACTGGGGCTATCGGAACCCTAGGGGCCCTCGACTGGGACTGTCGGAGCCCTAGGTTGAGCCTGCGACTGGAGTTGTGACTCTGACTGGGGCTGTCGGAACCCTAGGTACCGTCGACTGGGGCTGTCGGAACCCCAGGTGGCTTCGCCGGGGGCTTGTGGGCTAGGATGGTGGTGCTGTGGCTTGGTGGTGGTACAACTACAGCTACGGTTTGGTTTTTTTGTTTTTGTTTTTTTTTTCTTCTTCTTCTTCTAGTTCGGCTCTGATACCATGTTAATTTTAGAAGAGAAAAGATTAGGGTATGAGTGGTTAATCATACCCTTTTATATTAAATCATAAACATAAGTTAAGGCCTAAATAAAGGCCCATTACACCAAATAAAGAGACTGAATGAATAAAAATGGGAAATATCCTAACACATTCTAACAAATACTCCATGACTTGTGTTACATACTATGGTACTCCATGACATGGCTGAACCACCTTGAATAAGATGATTTTATCCTCCTTATCTGAGTATGACATTAGTCCAACAGGTTAAACACAAATGATGTACATCGTATGCATATAGAATCATAGCAATCATGCTCAGCAACGATATGCATGCATCATTTCTAAAGCATATATTCATCCAGTTATAACCAAACTAAACAAACCTTATGTTGGAATTCAATGTAAAATGAGTAATTTACTACAACTATTTGTATATGTTAGTATTCAGGATAAATACAATAATACAATAGATTTATGTTTGAAACTTGGGCATTTTTTTTGTTGTGTTCTTGAATAAATAGACAAAGAGAAAATATAAAAGAGTTAGGTATTGACAGTGCCACCATTATATATTTGTGGTCATTATGCTTATTTAACCTAATTGGGCTAAAAATATAGCATAAAATGGTCAACTAACACACACTGAGTATGTATTGGTTGCTTAATTTAACTTTTTACCGTCATATAGGAGTGACTATCTGCCCAATGGACCTTCCTAGTTAGATTATTATAGGTCTGTAGGTCATGGTGGGATAAGTTTTTAAGGCCCAATTAATTTTTTGAACCTGGGCTTGAGTTTCGTGCTTAAAGTTTTGGCTAGCTTAATTTTTTTTCCCCTCTAAATAATCTGATATAATAATTTTTGTTTGTATATACTAAAAATAATTAACCTCTTGAACATGTTGATTTTATGAGAAGAATAAATTTTTTGACTTGACCTCTCACAATGAATAGACTTGAGTCACTAAGCCATAGGTGTCAAATCGGGATTTGAATTGTGAATCGAAATGGGCTTGTACTGAATCGTGAATTGAAACGAATTGTGAATCGTAAAGATTCGGTCACTTTTTCTAAATTACTTAGAAAAATATATCTACATACTTGGATGTTAAATATGTTTTATGAATATGAAATATTTAGACTGAAGTAAATGAAAATGTTGTTTTAAATTATGGTCACATAGTTTAATAGGTAAGAAGTTAACAAGTTTTTATGTAAGATCACCATCTTACATTTTCCCTTTTTTAGATAATTATCAACCATTCTTAATAAAGACAATAAACAAATACAAACTCTCAATCTTCAAAACAACAAATTGATATTTAGACAATAAGCATACATACTTTTCCAAGTAACAATGATCAAATAATAAGAAAGAATCATATAGGATCTTTTATTTTAAAGCCTAAAACATTTAAAAAAGTATAACTGACCTCACCTATATAATATTCAACTATGTTTAATTTAATAAAATAGTAATAGATAATTCATGGTGTAAGTTACTTTAATCTTAAATATCTTTAGAAGATATATTATAATTTTTCAAGGAAAAAATTGAGAACAAAAGTTGAAAACATGTTGGGTCAGATTGAATTTGATTGGATCATATTAAAAACTCCATGATCACAAAAATAACAACAAATCATGTATATATATTGGTTATTTTGGTACTAAACGTTGTTAAAAATTGTATTATGTCATTTTCACTAAAAAGATGGAGAAAAAAATAGTCAAAAATATGTTGGACATGACAGTTTCAAAAACTGCATGAATCATAAAAAGCGAATCGAATCATGAATCGATTGTGAATTGTGCGATTCACTATAGATTCATTTCCAAAATAGATTCACTCATAGATTTGTATCGATTTTGCAAAAATTGCGAATCGAACCGTGAATCGAATCGCGAATTGTAAGATTCTGATAACAGAGCATTAAGCAACTATAAGTTTGGGCTAGCTTAGTTTTTTTTCCCTTCTAAATAATCTAATATAATAATTTGTGTTTGTATATACTAAAAATAATTAACCTCTTGAACATGTTGAGTTCATGAGAAGAATAAAATTTTTGACTTGACCTCTCACAATGAATAAGACTTAAGTCACTAAGCAACTATAGTAGCTTCAATATAATTTTTTTTCTATACAAATAATTTATTTGAATTATATTACATGCTTAGCAGGCAAGGCTCAGCCCCAACAAAAAGGGTTGAGCTTGGAATAAAGAGTTTAGGTCCAACATGAGGTAAGATTGCTCCAATTCCATGTTCACCTTTGTCGTCATATCAACTATGTCTAAATTCCCAATTAAAATATTTGGGTCGAGGGAGCCATTTGATTTATTGTTTGTTACAATAAAAGATAGTTGTTCTTGTGTATTAAAAAATAATAATAATAATTTAGTTTTAATCATAGATAAAATGAAAAATTTTAGTAAATAATTGGTGTAATAATTGTGATCAGCTAGAAAATACTCATATAAATTGATAGTTTTTTTAGGCTTTATTTTCATGCCAAATTTTAATATTGTATAAATATTTTTACTTAACTTCTTGTTCCCTTTTTAAGAGTGAGAAATAGAAAGAGAGAATGCTAAATATTATCTATATATGTTCCTTGTTATATAGATGCCTTTCGTCAAATTTAATTAGAATTAATGGAATAAAAAGGAAAAAACCAAATTTTATTGATTCATTAAGGGGAATTGCAAATGAGTGCTAAGTTAGCAAAATAATTGCAATTTTCATGGAGCTGCAAATGGGTATGTGTCCAGTGCAACTAAAAGTTGCGGCATGGGACATAGGTCTCACTTGCACTTTCATAAAAGTAAAGTGCAATTATTTTGCTTGAAAGGTTCACAACCATTGCAGGAGAGGAGGCCCAATAAAAGGAACAATGCCTTGACCAACTCCTAGTGAGTTGAGGGAAGAATGATAGGTCCACCAAGCAGCTTCTTGGAGATCGGAGGAAGAATTACAAATCTCTTTAAAAACTGATACCTGCATATGGAACACATCTCAACAAATGGTGGTTCGCAGAGACAGGTGCAACCCCAAGGAGTAAGGTACCCTTTGAGCAAGCAGAGTAGGGTGCTTGGGGGGCATGATGCCATAATATAGCCATGTGCAAGATGAAATAGCAGCCAACTTGTCCCCTAAAAGTAGTGCAACAAAATTGATATCTGGGTTACTTGACCCTATATATATATATGAAGAGGTTGGTTCAACGAACATAGGTATGAATAGAACACCTTCAGACATATACCCTGGTTATCTCTTCTCACAATTTCTGTACGCAGTGTCAGAGTGCTCTCCGGCTGACACCACCGGCTGGGCAGCAGCACTAATGGTGTTTGGGTTCCTGCAGGGATTTCAAACTTGGGAGGTGTCATTCTACTTTCTGCACAATGCGAGGATTTTTCCCTCACACACCAACTTTCCACTAATTTGCAATGCCCCCTTAATTTATGATACCAATATTGAAAATTTTCGAAAATGCATTGTTAGATTCTAAATTTAAAAAAAAAAAAATCTATCTCTCTGTAAGTACTTTCAGATGTTTCATGATTTGATAAAATGAAAAATGTTACCACATTTGTACAACTAGATGGGAGACACTCATTATGTGAGTGCACGACAAACAAATTATCGGCCACAATTTGTTTGCAATGGCTTCTAATAATTTATATATATATATTTTTTTATTTAGGAATGTGGGTGCTAAGATATTCATAACTCCATGGAAGTTGAACTTTGTGAGGTGAAATTAAAAAAAAAAAAATTATGTGAGGTGAAAACATGATCTCAGTTCTAACATTGTTGTCACTTTTGAATCAACCAAACAGAAGCCTCCTTGGAGCAAAATGGCCCTCTTCTATCATCTCCCTGCACCTAATTCTTCTATTCCCATTCCCATTTATTTATTTAATTTGTTTACTTTGACTGCAACTGATGGAAAAGATCATTGTAATTCATTTTTTCGTAGTTTCACTAATTTGAGTTCTTGATCCTTTATAATCAGTCTACACTAGTTTTTCAATTTTTCCTTAATGTCAAAAGTTTGTAAGCGAAAATGTCTATTTTCTCACCTCATTGTTTTTTCTTTTTGGTTTTTTGGTAGAAGGGAAAGGTCGATCGAAAGTTGGT